GTCCTTCAGACAATCACTCAGGGAGAGTGAGTGAGAGAGCGCGAGAAACTTTGCATAACAGCAAATTAGCTAATAAAACTCGCTGGTAAACTAATATATACATACATACATATATGCCTATGTTAATATAGGCTATGCTATATATACATATGTTAATATAACGATAAGCTCGACGAACCCGAGCTCTATCCCAAAGAATTGACATAATACCGCAGCCACCCCTGACCTCACTCTCGTTGACTTTCTCTTTCTGAAACTTGAGAAATCCATGAGTGCTATGAAACCTATATATCAATTTCTAGACAACAGATAAAGAAGATCACCAAAGCGATCTTTGCAAATGTTTCGACAATAATACATTTTTTTTTTTTTAATTAGTTCATTCTGTATTTCTAAGAAATATTTATAATGAAATTTTGTTTGCCTTCAAAGTAAGCCCTATCAGATATTATGCGTTTTTTAATTATAAATTAAAAATTACTTCGAAGCCTACAAAAAAAAAATAAGTAGGAAAGATCTAAACCAGACTACATGATTCTCTGAATTGATGGGTAGAAACTGATATTTGGAATTATAACGAAATTCAAATTTCCATATATATACATATATTTAAACATAATCTGTACATATTCCGGTAAATAATTCGATTTAAATTTAGACTTTGCTCATTTACAATGAGCATGAGATCTATTATATTCATATAAAGTCTACATTCAGTGCAAATAAATAAATAAGTAAGTAATAAATAGGTATAGCAACCAAATTTAAATTTTTTAATTTAAAACGAATTTTTACTTTATACTTTATTATACTCTGAACTCATTTAAAATGGGATATCAAAAAATTCAATCATAGGAGATATTCAGGAAAAATTGTTGAGAAAATAAATAATATATAAAATAAATGTGTTTTTTAATCACTTTTTTTATTAAATTTCTTTTCAACAGACCTTGTGTAACATTTAATCTATTTAATAGAGTAAGAATTTTTACTGATCAACCAAATTTCAGAAAAATTCAAATAAATACAAATAATAATTGTTCAAGCTTTGTTAGATATACCAAATAAACAGAGCACAAAGTCAAGTTAAAAATCTATCTGTCTATTTTTATATATGTAAGGGCTCAAAATTTGGACTTGAGGATATTAAAGATCTATTTTCAAAATGAGTCAAGCTACAGGTATTGTAGCTATGAATCATATGCGGCACATCCTACACATATGTATTTTGCTCTATACTAGATTCTGGTATTCAATCTGATGTTAATCTCCCGAGAAAAATTTCCCTTGAAGAATATACATAGCTTTATCTTGCAACAGTTGATAATTAACTGTAATTAGCTTCATCACACACATGTGTCGGGCATTGTTAGGGGCTTTTGTGGAAGGAGGGAGGCTGGCTGATGGAATCACATCTATTCCGGGCGCTGAACTCGACGTCCGGCCGTCCCGATGCCATTGCTCAATGCAGAGTTTTTGCGCTTGCTTTTTGTTTTTGCTCATTTCATTTCCATCTTTTTGTTTTTCTCTTTTTTCCCATTCTTGTTTTTTTTTTCTAGCTGGCTTTTTATTTTGTAATTTGTTTGCCGTTTTGCTTGTAATTTGTTACAGCCTTTTTAATCTCGCATTGTTCTAAGCATCCGTTGACTGACAAACTGACGGACTGACGCCGGGAAGGACACACAGACGGACGGATGGACATGTTTTGGACATGGCCAGTGGGCGGCCGACAGCAGTGATGGAGGCGCGGTCACAATTTAATCAACATCATAATCAGTGGCCCAGCACAGGCTATGGCTATGGCTGCACATCTGCATTGTCCTGCCGGAGTCACAGCTCTGTAGTTGTTCCACTCCCCAACTCTTCCTCCCCCGCTCAGTCACGACCCAGCAACAGTTGCAAAACTCATTTGGCTCACACATGTGTGTGTTTCTAGAGATGGGCACTTGGATAATCTACATACATGCATAAGTCACGCAACTACATAACAGAGCTCTGTTAACTTAACAGTGCCATCGCATTATCTAATAGTTGATCGTCGATCTTGTGACGTCACACCTGCAGCTGTTGTGGCGACATTCGACAGATTCTATCAATTTGATGACATACTATCTGATGAGGGTCTCTGTTTATTCTCTGAAGCAATAGTTGCCCATCTTTCGTTATCTTGATATACCTGTTGCTGGCCAAGATACGAAATATGTAACTGTCGCAATTAGTTTAAATTTTGACTTCGATATATGGGTAACACTTTTTTGTGTGTTTTTTTAAAATTATTTTAGACTGATATAATATGTATATAATATGACATCACATTCTATATTATATAAATTTCTTAATTTAATTTACTGTTGAACTCTATACTATATACATATATAATATTGAGTAATATTACTTCATATTTTACAAAAATATTTGTCATAAAATAACTATAAACAGGTAAAAAACTAGAGTTATTATTTTAATTACTTTTTAGCCCGCTCTGAAGTATCATCACAAACTGTTCTTAGGCCCTTTAAAGCTTAGATCTGCACTGAGTTTTTATATTTTAATTATTATAACTACATGCCAGCCAGGCACCCACACTCAAGCATTCACACACATACACACCCGCTCACACTCACACTCGGACTAAACAACAATGAGCCAAGGCGGTGCTCTCTCATAATTCATTTGAAAGCGTACAAAAGCGCACATGAAATTGAAATGAAATTGAAATACATATAATAATAATAAAAAGAAATAATAATGAGAAATGAACTATATGTGTGTGTGTGTATGTGAGACTGTGGGTGTGTGTGTATGCAGATGTAAATGCCGAATACAATAAAAATAATAATCAACAATGCCCTCACACACACACACATACACAGAGTGAAACACATGTGAGTTCACAATTCAGTTTTCATGGATTTGTGCTTTTTAATTTAGTCTGGACTTATTCTTTCGCAGCCCGTTTGAATGGGCAAAGAAAAAAAATACTTTTATGCATAATGGACGAGGGTGTAAAATATGCGGGTGTTTTTCTAAAATAAAATCAAAATCAAGTCAAACAAATTATTGAGAGTGCAAAACTCGACCGAAAAATATCCCCTACTCAATGCATATACATACATATATAAATGAAAGCGAATAGGAAAAAAGTATAGGCTTGTATACTTATTATATGTACTTTTATATACATTTCTTTTAAGTATAATATTTATATTTCGTTATGTTGATACCATGATACATTCTATATAGAATAGACTTTTTCTGTTTGACTGTTACATACATACGCACAAAACGTGTATACCCTAAACTGGACTATTTTTTTTTTAACAATCCAAAGTTCATTAATTAATCACAAAAGCATTCTTATTCGCTTTGAGGTACTTTTTCTTCAGTGAATCCAAATTGGAGTACTCAAAACTGGAATCAGAATACGTTTCAGCATATACGAGTATATGAAGATAATATAAATATTTTTCTGAATGACATATACATATTCCTAAATCCTCAAAGTCTTCCATTTGAGACTTCAACCTTCTCTCTGCTAAAAGTTTACGCACTTTGGAAGAATCGAATATTCGAATCGAAAATAGTCCAATTGGAAAATTCTTCTGTTGGTTTTTAGTTAATGCTTCTCTTTGGTATTGTGCACTGAACAGAGTATAACTTGACCGAAAGTACTCAATTGCATGTGATTTGTTTTTCTCTGTCAACTCGTCAATTTACTGATTTGCATACAAGTGCAAAATTTCTCTTTTGACTTTGGGATCGACCAACTTGTCCAGTGACTTTTTGGCATGCGGATCGGTTTTTTCTTTTAGCGAAGCGGAATACATTTTACATTGTTTTATTGCTTTCCAACATGTGCATTTATAGGGCATAACAACATAAACAAGAATGTGGGTACGAGTTGAGTACTTGCTTATATGCATATGTATGTATATAGATATATGTATGTATGTATCTGAATCTATATACTACATATAGATTCGGAGTACACAGGTATGTATGTATATGAGTTTACATCTATCTAGATCAAAAACTCTTAAGTTTAATCAATTATTGTTTCCAAATATTAAAAATTGTAGTATTTTAGTATTTATTTTATAATTCGCTGGATGAAAAGTCTTCTACAATATATTTTATAAATATGTATATATCTGATATAAAATATATCTTATATAATATATTCTATTCTTTGTATGTATTTGTATATTGCCATTCCCTTTTGAAGACCTCCATAAGTTCCTATTATTTATTATTCACTTGTGTGTATCTTTTCAAATTTAACTCCTAAAGTTAATTATTATCATAAAATTTGTGGTACAAACTAGAAAAAAGAGCATTCGAAGCCCGTTGAAAGTTTGAATAACTTGACAATATTTGATTTGATTTTTATTCAGCTCGCGGGTCGCTGTCATTCTCTTGTTTTTTTTTTGTTTTTGTTTGTTTTTTTTTTTTGTTTTTATCAGGTCGGCCCCATTTGTGTTTGCCCCATATGACAGCGGGACAGCTGCAGCTGCAGAAGCGTTGCTCAAACGCCAATATACACACCTCGCATACCCATGCTCATGCTCATGCTCATGCCCATGCCCCTGCCTCTGCCCATGACCATGCCCAACCCCTGCCGCCCACACTACAAGCCCCATTTCGCCGCACTGAAGTGCAAATGACAATAGCAATAACAGCAACAACACAACATCGCCCTTTGGCTCTGCCTATGGCAAAGCAAAGCGCAGCGCAACGCTTGAGCGCCGACGCTGACGTCGGCTTCGAAGCCAGCGTCCGCTGCCAGAATCAATGGGACAACAAAAAGCTCCAATGATAACCAAGTCTTTTCAGCATTTAATTTAGTTTCAGTTCGGTTTTGGAATTGCGCCCATTTGCATGGTTTGCTCATTGGCGTTGCGAATTAAATTTTTGCCGTTGCCGTAGGCTTCTGTTCTGTTCAATGTTTTGTTTTGTTTTGTTTTCTGTGTTCTTATCCTTAGTGCAAAAAAAAGAAAGGCGGCACAGCATGATTCTAAACAGTGGCTATCGCTGTTATTTCGCGCTGTTACTTTGTGTGGCAGCAGCTGCAGCAGGCTCAGTGCCCGATGACAGCGGCGAGAGCGCTCCCACCACTAGAAGGTTTGCAACAAAACTAAATAAATAAATAACAAACAGTGCTGCCAATTTGAAATTTCAAATGATTAACAGCCATGACATGTTAAGGGCCGAATCAAGTTCTGCACTGCATGCATATGTAATGTACAAATATTTATTATTATTTGATGGACATTAATACACATATTTATTTCATAAATGACTTATTGTCATATTCAAGTAAAATATGAATGAAATATTTATCGCATTTATTATCAGAGCGGAATATAATTAGAAGCATTAAGCTTAATATAGGCATGCACCAGAAATATACATACATACATAAGTATGTAGGTCACATTTATTGTATATAAATTGTCAGTTAAAATATTTGTCACTTGCTTACTTTTAATCAAGAACTATATACATACATCCAAAATATTACTAGGAGAAGATTTCTAAAAGGATTTCCAAATCACAAGCTTTGCGTATTGTTTGCTTCAAATAGTAAAAATATCTGTCTATAATCTATATGTAGATATATTCATGTGCATATGGACGCTTCACCGTATAAGACTTTCGACTCTTGACTTTTGTAGTCCAGAGTACAAACAATAGACAAACCCAAAGCTAAAGCTTGCATATTTAACAAAGCAAATGTGTGAGATCTATGAGCTATAAAGAAGCGGAAGTAAGAAATAGAGGCATAAAACATATGGACTATGTATTGTATTTGATGGGGGGACTAGGGCATCTCCATGTCAGGAACTCAGTACTTGGCTCGTCCTACTGATGATTTCAAATGATTACAGCAAATGGCTCTGCGACGCAACAGATCTTTGTCTGCCAGAGGAGAACTTGTTGCCGGGAGAAGGGCAAGTGCAGCCCAGACAACGATATGAGAGTCAGCTGGATTGCCGTCTATCTTGTGGTAAATACGGAGCTATTTGGCCAATGCCGACCGGTGAATGCAGCCTGTCGCATGATCGGGTGCACTTCGATCCGTGGAAGGTGCGCTTCAATGTGGTGGCCCCCAACGAGGTGTCCACGCAGTTTCTGCGCGAGACGAATCGCTTGTTTCTGAGCAATCTGCTCAAGGAGTGCATCCGGAACTGCACGCTGGCCGACAGCAAGGAGGTGCTGGTCAAGGCGACTGTGACCGACGGGAGCCTGGTGCTTAACTGGAACACAGACGAGAGCTATATGATAGTGGTGCGCACCACCGATAAAGTCAGCTTTGTGGACATCAAGGCGGCGACAGTGTACGGCGCGCGGTTCGCATTCGAGACACTCAGCAATCTAGTAACGGGCAGTGTGACGAACGGACTGTTATTGGTGAGCTCCGCTCGGGTCACCGATCAGCCCGTCTATCCACACCGGGGCCTGCTCCTGGACACTTCGCGCAACTTTTTGCCGTTGCGCTTTATTCGCAACACCCTGGATGCAATGGCTACCTCCAAGATGAATGTGTTGCACTGGCATGTGGTGGACACGCACAGCTTTCCGCTGGAAATAACACGCGTGCCGGAAATGCAAAGATATGGCGCGTATTCGAATGCTCAAACCTACTCCCATGCGGATGCCCTTAATCTGGTGAAGTATGCCCGTTTGCGGGGCATTCGCATCATCATGGAGATTGATGGACCCTCGCACGCCGGCAACGGTTGGCAGTGGGGTCCCGCAGCCGGACTGGGCAACATGTCCGTCTGCCTGAACCAATCGCCCTGGCGCAACTACTGCGTCCAGCCGCCATGTGGCCAGTTGAATCCAACCAACGATCACATGTATGCGGTGCTTAAAGAAATATTTGAAGATATAGCCGAGTTGGGTGCACCCGAAGAGACCATACACATGGGCGGCGACGAAGTGTACATACCCTGCTGGAACCGAACCGAGGAGATTACTACCCAAATGAAGGCCAGGGGCTACGATCTAAGTGAGGAGAGCTTCTTGCGCCTCTGGTCGCAGTTCCATCAGCGCAACGTAAAGGCCTGGGACGATATTAATCTCCAGATGTATCCCAGCGTCAGAGAACCAAAACCAGTCATACTCTGGTCCAGTAAACTGACCGATCCGGAGAACATTGAACAATTGCTGCCCAAGGAGCGTTTCATCATACAAACCTGGGTCAGTGCTCAGAGTCCGCTCAATAGGGAGCTGCTCCGAAAGGGCTATCGCGTCGTAATCTCCACGAAGAATGCTTGGTATTTGGATCACGGTTTCTGGGGCAATACCCAATACTATAACTGGCGCACGGTTTACGACAATGCGCTACCAGTTGACTCACCCAACAATCAGAAGCGGCAAGTGCTGGGTGGCGAGGTATGCATGTGGAGCGAGTATGTTGATCAAAATTCTTTGGGTAAGTCTAAGCTAAAGTACGATCGACCTCAACTAATAATTTTCATTTACAGAGGCTCGCATCTGGCCTAGAGCGGGTGGCGCCGCCGAACGTCTTTGGTCGAATCCCAAGTCATCGGCCAACTTGTCACAGCGTCGATTCTATAGGTATCGGCAACGACTTATAGCACGCGGCGTCCATCCAGATGCTGTGTTGCCACACTGGTGTGTTCTTCACGAAGGACAATGTCTTTAAATTAAATCTTGTTATTTGTACTGTTAAAAAAAAAAGCAATATTAAAAACATTTTTTATTAGCAATCAGCTGTTGATGAAGTAAACATGGTAACGTGAGTCAGCTGTTTTTATTTACTCTGGCAGCCCAGATGACAGATTATTTATCAGAGTCAGCTGCTTAGAATACGATCTGGCAGCCCTACCAATTAACTTGTGTTTGTATACAAGTGCAGACAGGTTGTTTGTCTCCATCAGCGGTGTGTTCGTCAGTCTGGCAGCCCCGCAAATCCCAAACTATTTGTACACAAAGCCGGTGTATTCCAAAGTAGAATCTCATCAATTTTAATAGCAAAATGCTTTTACTGCTTTATGCAGCTTACTTTGTAAGCTCTCTGCGATTGAGCCAAGCAACCGACACAGATTGCCACGACAGGGGTAACAGAAGCAGCAATGGCACTGTTCTACCCGTCGTACTATGGCATGGAATGGGCGACACTTGTTGTTTTCCATTCAGTCTGGGCTCTATTAAGAAACTAATCGAGGAGCACACCAACGGCACCTATGTGAGATCCCTGGAAATAGGTGCAAACATTGTTTTGGACTATGAGAGCGGCTTTTTTATCCATCCGAACAAGCAAGTGGACTACGTATGCAAGCAGCTGGCTAAGGATGAAAGGCTGGCCAATGGCTACAATGCCATCGGCTTTTCCCAGGGCGGTCAATTTTTGTATGTTGAATTGAATTGAATTGAATTGAATTTCATTACCAGAAATATGCTAACAAATAGTTTTTCACAGACGAGCGGTCGCTCAACGTTGTCCCAATCCGCCAATGCGAGTGCTCATCAGCCTGGGCGGCCAGCATCAGGGCGTCTATGGTTTGCCAAAGTGTCCTACGCTTAGCGTCAGCAGCTGCGAATATATTACGAAGCTGCTCAACTATGCGGCCTACGATGAGTAAGTGCTATGAGTACCCATTATTACATTGACTCGGATACTGACTTTTTTCTCAGCTGGGTCCAAAACGAACTGGTGCAAGCTACATACTGGCACGATCCGCTACACGAGAACACCTATCGATTGAAGAGTAGCTTCCTGGCGGACATCAACAATGAACTCTACATAAATGAACGCTACGCAGAGAACCTTAACAAGCTAAAGAAGTAAGCACAACGCTTGAGTTTCTATTGGACTTTGGTTTACTCGATTGCATTGCAGATTTGTTATGGTCAAGTTCCTCAATGACACTATTGTGCAGCCCAAAGAGTCGCAGTGGTTTGAATTCTATGCACCTGGCCAGGACAAGCACATACTGCCGCTCAACGAAAGCAAGGTCTTCAAAAATGTAAGCTATAATCTTAACGCACATATATAAAATGCATTATTAAATTGCTAATTTGCCTCCAGATTGACTTGGACATAATGCATAAATGCAAGAAGCTGCACTTCCTCAGCGTTGAGGGTGATCATCTGGCCATATCCAAGGAGTGGTTTGTGAAGGAGCTCGTGCCGCTGTTACTCGAAATTTACTAAGAATATCAGCGCCGCCCTCTACCACAGCTGTGTCGTCTCACGCCTCAAACAAAGAAAAGTTTTGATAGCATATATAAGTTGAATGACGTACGATATGACATATGTATAAATAGAGTATGTTCCTACAATATTCTACATATATGTATATGTATATATATATTTATTAGATGTGTGAAGCTGATAATTAATATTAATAAATATTTACGGGAAATATTTAATTCAAGGCAGTCGCATGATCCGACTATGATTCATACGCGTAACGTAATCATATTAATAACTTTCTTGATATCTACATACATACTGTATATTTATATGTAAAGAGTATATATAATGTATACATATATACGCACATATATAGGTATATATATATTATATAACTATGTACAATTAGCAATTAACAAAAGCTTATTGACAACCATAGAATTATAGGATTTACATTTGACATTTAATAGATTAAAGCAAAACAAATAGATAACCAAAACCAGCACAGATCCAGTGTCGCACAGAAATCGTTGTGCATGGCGTAATATGGGAGTGATTATGTTGATGGAGCTTTAGAGTAGGACTTAATGCTGTTGCCTTATTGCTAGATGCTCCACATCCACAAAGCATTGGGGGACAGCGTCATTAGCAGCAAGCACATCATAATTTGGACTTTGTGTTCGTATTGCGTGCGAAGAAGATTTCGGGATCCTTGAGAGGACGCTGAATCTCGCGATAATTGTTGACTATTTTCTTGGACTCGTCTTTGGGGCATGATTGCAGGTTCCGGAATACGCTCACCTATGTAATAGATAGACTAGTTATTACTCGGCTCTGGCAAGGGTTTGCAGGTGCGCTTTCTACTCACCTGTCCTCGCGAAACATAAATGGGCGTGCGGTAGATTATCCACGTAACACTCTCAAAGTACGGCGCCGTTGTCAACGAGCCCTTATATGTGTAATAGTGCTTGCTTAGCTCCTGCAGACCTATCCAGGAAAGGCAATCTGCAAATGGACGAAAGCAGAAATAGATTAAATCCGAGTCCATTGGTAATTGCATTGCGAGAAGGTCTTACCCGAGTCGAGAGATGCGCTTGTGTGTATCTTTTGGACGATGCGTATGCCTTCGGTGATCTTCTTGAATTCGGGGCAATCCTTGTCGCCGCAGGCCTGAATGAAGAATGCGACAACCGCCAGTCCGTCCGGTTTGTTTTTAGCTTCCGAGAAGTCCTTGTACTTGGCATTGTAGTGTACTGCGTGCGCCTCCATCGAATACTTCATGCCCTCCAGTGTGTGCTCGCACCCAGACTCATCCGAGTCCGACCAGTGAAAGTGCAGCTGCTCGAACACATACTTATCCGAGCCGAGCCCGCCCCCGATGATGTATGGCTGTTGTTTGCGCTTGCTAAATGTGACCATGGCCGAGGTGCCAGTGTTTTGAACACGGGCCACTCCGACCGGCTCCCAATGGCCATGATACTCGAGCGGATCAACGTCATCAATATGCTCGATAGCACGATTGCTAATCTCAATGGGCGACTGCACGGGCATACTGTGTAGTCTATCGGCTCTGATCTGGCTGGCCTGGCTGCTCCGACCTGCTATCTATCTATGTAATATTGGCGGCGTTCAAGTATTTCTTCTTCCTCAGCTTGTAGACACGCCCGCGATCGGCAGCGCTGGCGTCGTCCAAGTGCTCGGCTGACAGAGGTGGCGCTTCCGGCGGCGACGTCGTGATGGCGATTATTCTCCTCGACGCCGGCGTGTGGAAGGAAGAAGTGTGACGGCTCTAAATCGAGCCCGCCCGTCCAATTCTATTAAATCTCCGCGCCGGCTCCAACTGCCTGAAATGGACGCAAGAATAACCAAATTTAACATGCAAATGTCACTAATTGTAATTGGAAAGAGATCAATAAAACTAAAAATGAAAATGAAAATGAAAATAAGAAAACTCGATTAATTGAAAAACTGACAACTCGTGCCGCACAATAAAAGCAATTAAATGATTCAATGTTTCCGTGACCAGCTGCCCCCCAGTTGGCCAGGAACAGCCCGGCAGCAGACGTAGCCATGGCTGTATCCCTTTATTTGCAGCAATTGTAATCGACACCTGCGACAGTGCATCCAATCGCCACCAATGCCCCCAGTGTCCCCCGCACCAGCCACCACAACCGCTCCGCATCCGTATTTGATGAGCCATTTGAGAAATTGAAATGGTTTGTGTAAATGTCTTCATTAGCCGACAATGGACAATCCGGCAAATCAACAAACCAACCGCCATTCCCCCTGGCCCCCCGCTTTAAATATTTACGCGCCACCCTCCCGCTGGCCTGAGCCTTCGTTTGTCTTGTTTGCACCTTTCGCAGCGTCGACTCGATGGATTCCTTAGCTAATCGACAGCTGTTGCATATTTCATAAGTGACAACTGATAGGCCACAAATCGGTTTGTACTGCAGACGACGCTTTCGAAATTGCGTGTTCTGCATTTTCAGTGTATCAATTGAAGCGACCAATTGCCCCTATTTGTATACCCCTTGAAGCCGGGCTGACAACAGAAATGAAAAGGCCGAATGGTTTTAGGACAGCGCATGCAGCACACAAAAGAAAGTTTCAGGAATAACAAATCGATTTATGGAATTGTGCATCTCTTCATATATACAAATTTTTGGACTATATACATATATAACTGAGTTCAATTGAATTTGAGCTAATCGTCTGCATCGGAATCAGCTCCTCAGCTCCTCCACTAATTATCATATAGTCTACATAGATATATAATTCTTACAGAAAGGGAAAGTTTTATATATCGTACATATATTCAGTAAAACAATATACATATGTATAAATATCGATAAACCTAGCAAATATTGATTTTTAATGCTAATCATAGGTGACTTCTCCTGTGTCCACGAAACTATGGAATTTGTGTCATTTAAACAACTTGAAACCTAAGGCTGAGGACGACTATCGTAATATCATATTGTCTACATGGTTAACGGATGTAAAAAAGAAGATAACGGTTTATATTACATACTATTCAGTACAATATTATACATATATGCCAGCAGATCTTATAAAAGATCTTATAATAACGAATATATATTTTTTCAGTTAAGCCATAATTGCACTTCTAAATAAATCTCAAATTAAACCTTTTAGAAATAGCAGTAGATCAGCTCAAGAGACCGTCGATATACCAGGAAGATGCTATAACCGTATAAGTTTGCTCATAAAGGTTTGTCTGGGTACCACAATTTTCATCACAATAACCGTACAGACGGTATAAGCGGCGTCGTTATTGTCCCAGACACGAAATTGGAATCCACACATATGAAAAATTAACAACATAATGAAAGTATGATATCCAATTGCTGGCACACCTAATAGTATTCATTCTTTCTAGCCATATAATCAGGTTATCAGAGATCAAGAGCTTAAGAGCTGGTCATAAATAATGCGGGAGGCACTAACGAGTGCTTTAAGAGTTTTGAGCACAGATATGCATACATGAATTGATTAAATCAAATATGGTTTTAATTTGACATTTATACAATGCACTCGATATTGCCCGCTAAGCCTAATCGGGGCTACTCAACAGACCGCCCACAAGTGGTGGGGGAGGTGATATCACTACCTGATGATTGGTGGTTCGCCGGCTTGTAGACTGTGAATTTATGGCAGATACTTTAAGCTTATATGGCTATTATAGGTACATAAATGTGTGTATGTGTGTGTATTTGGCATGTGCTCATATCAGAGGCAGTCACTGATAAGCCAAGGAGGTCGCCGAATCAGCGGTAATTATTTCCACAAATGTTTCGCCTGGTCACAGTCAATTAATTATGAGCGAACCATTCGTAAGGTAACACTGACAAACATTTTAAACTTTCCGCTCGCTGTGGGAGTGTCAAGTATTCTCCATTGCTCTTTGGACTCGAAATTGGAGATTTGAGAGAGTACAGAATGGGACTCGATTTGATATCTTATCATGCATCTAGTGCGAATGCAGTATGTGCCTGTGCCTGCGGCTGGGGCTGGGGCTGGGGCTGTGGCTGTGGCTGTGACTACATGCGTCATCAGACACCCAAGACAAACATATTAATCCAATATCAATGTTATACATGTATAAATGTTATATAATCAACACGTGATTTGTATGCGGCTTGTGCCTAATTCCACATTTGTTTCAATTGGCTCAAGAGCTCAAGAGATTCATATCTTAAATTCTGGTCATAAGCTTATCTGTACGCTTTACCAAGGTTCCCAAATTATACTCTTGTTTATTTGCTTTTCTCTGTTTCTTTCAAATGAATATTCCTGATTTGATTAGAATTATGTTAATTTCGCATAATTGAATTGTCCATTCTGAATGTAAATCGATTGACGTACTCCTGAAAGATATATCATTTGTAAGTCGCTTTGTCAACAAGTTAAAGATATGTATATATAGAAACACGTACCTGACCCTGCAAGGCCCACGACTCAGACATCCTTCATGAAATTTCTTATCGAAATGAACTTACACAGTTAATGGTTTAATAAGCAGAGCCCAATATATTTATCTATCTACGATATTTTATTCAGTTGTTTTATCACCTATATTATGCTAAAATAAAACGGCAAAAAAACCAAAAAATGGACATTGAGATAAGCGAAAGGTACGTTCTCAATGCTGTCGAATGGAACTCTGATTGAAGTACGGCTATATATGTATATATATATATGCATCTGTATATATATATACATAAAAATATATATAATCTATAGAGATACAAATAGAGATAGAGAGAAGTAGCTTGAAACGATGTGGAAAATAAACGGACAATAGTCAAGTGGCGTTTAGATATATTAGTTAAGGTCATGTGACGGCAGTTATCTGACTGATTGATGGATCAGCCAAGCAACTTCGGAAAGAAAGTGTAGTTAATTGGTAAGCCTCGACTTATCATTTTACACAAACATGTTCAGCTATGTATGTCAGATGAGTGACTATATCCACACACACACACACACACATACACACATCACATCGGATTGTATTGAGTAATTACTTAAGTAAGGCTACAGCTGTGATAAACCTTATCAGCTGGATCAACGATGAAAGAGTCGCCCTTGCAAGGAAAAACAAATATACAGATATCGGATACAAATGAGAGTGAGAGAGAAACAATTAAGTAATAACAGTGGCACCGCAATCGAATACGCTTGCAAAGCAGTCGAGAGTAAATAGAACCTCAAACATCCAAGTAGCATGCAAATGTAGCTCAGGTTAGCTACGCATAACCACTAACCAGAGAACACATAGACCGGACACGTAGTGTAAAGTGTTTTGCACACTTTTTTTTTGACATTACGACCCACACCACTTCGTATTTGCTCGGCTCCTCACTTT